GGCCGGCCGGAGCGCCGCTGCGCGGTGCGCGTTGGGCCTCGGGCGCTTGGGGCCGCGAGCCGAAGATCGCGGGAGCTGTGTGACCTTGGCCGGGCCGCCGTCTCTGGGCCGAGCTCCTCGGGCCGGCGCCACCACCGGGGCCACCAAGCTCCGGCATAGTCACCCTCCCTCGCGCTGTCCCTCGGGCACCGCGCCGCGCCCACCCGGGCCGCCGGCTTCGACCCCGCGTCCGTTCGGTTCCTCCGGGCCGGACCGGGCCAGACTGGGCTTCGGGAACGTGCGTCCTCGGCAATTGTCTCCGTCCGCTGGGACTCCTCGGGTCCGCGGCCGGGCCGGGGCTGAGCCGACGCGGCTGCACTTCCTGAACCGGCCGGATTGGGAGCCGCTGCATGAAAGGGTGCCTGCGGCCCGCACCTGCCTGGCCCGAGTGCCTCCTGGGCGTCGCAGATCGGCGGGGCTCGGCCCACAGGAGCTCAGCCCGGGTCACGAGTGCGTTCCTGCGGGCTCATACGCGGGGCTTCCAGGACAGGGAACCAAAAGATTCCACTTAAAACAAAATCAGAAGCACTTTGCAGATATTTCTGTTTGGTGTTGATAGTGCTTTTTGAGTTTGAAAGACGGGAATGGCACGTGTTACGCGGCATTGAAAGTTCCCCGTGGTTTGCTGTGAGCCTGGGTCCTGCGATCTGCGTGGAGAACCAGCAATGTGAGACTCCTCCAGGAATCGGCCGCGTGCCTTCTTGACAGTTTCCTTCAGAGCACGCGCCCCAGAAGTGTTGTTGCTGTTTCTAAGAATGAGGGAAGGCATTGCAGAGGTCTGACATTAGTAGGGGCACGAAGGACGCCCGAATCGGGCCGGGGGGGGGGGGGGGGTCTTTAGAATTAGCTCACAAAAGCCTGAGAAAGGAGGTCAGAAGGTCATGTTGCTCAGAACTTCCTAGGGTTTTCCTAGTCCTGATCTACAGCGGCCTCTGGTGGGTTAGAAGACCTCGGGGGAGCACATAGCAGTTAGGAATGTCTGCCCCCCACCTCTCAAGGTGGGCGTCATGTGCACTGAGATCCTTTTCCTTTTTATTTTTATTTTTTTGAGACAATCTCCCTCTGTTTCCCAGGCTAGAGTGTCGTGCTGTCATAGCTCATAACAACCTCAAACTCCTGGGTTCCAGCGATCCTCCTGCCTCAGCCTCCTGAGTAATTGGGACTAAGGGTGCCCCCTACAGTGCCTGGCTAGTTTTTAGAGATGAGGTCTGGCTCTTGCTCAGGCTGGTCTTGAACTCCTGAGCTCAGGCAGCCCACCCACCTTGGCCTCCCAGAGTGTTAGGAGAGTGTTAGAGTTATAGGTGTGAGCCACCATGCTCATCCTTTTCTTTGGGGGGGTGTGTGTGTGTAGAGACAAGGTACCACTGCCATCCAGGTTGGAGTGCAGTGCCCCAGTCATAACTCACTGTAACCTGGAACTCCTGGGCTGAAGCAGTCCTTCCACTTAAGTCTCCTGAGTAGCCAGGATCATAGGCCAGCACCACAGGCCAGCACCACCATGCTTTGCTAAAGTTTTTTTTGTTTTTAGTAGAGATTGGGTTGCTTAGGCTGGTCTTGAACTCCTGCCCTCAACCAGTCCTCCTGCCTTTACCTTCAGAAGTTCTGGGATTAGAGGTGTGACCTGACCTACTGCTCCTGGCCAGGTCTGTTTTTTTGAAATTCAGATTTTGCCTTAGGGAAGAAATGGTTACTAAGTATCTTTCAGGTAATAAAGAAGAAATGATTAAATATCTTATTTGGTATTATCCAGAAATATGATACCATATCGTATAATATATAATATGATATTATAATTGTGTTATGGTATAATACATACAAATAACATAAAATTTACTGTCATAACCATTTTTAAGTGTGCACATTCACACTGCTGAGCTACCACCACCATCCATCCCCAGTACTCTTTTCATCTTGTAAAGCAGAATCTCTGCCCCCATTAAACATTGACCCCCCGCATAGCACCCTCTCCCAGCCCGTGGCACCCACATTCTACTTTCTATCTCTGTGAATTTTGGTACTCTGGAGACCTCCTGAGTGGAGTCATATAGTATTTTTTTTTTTTTTTGAGACAGGAGCCTCAAGCTGTCCCCCTGGGTAGAGTGCCGTGGCATCTCAGCTCACAGCAACCTTCAACTCCTGGGCTCAAGTGAGTCTCCTGCCTCAGCCTCCCAAGTAGCTGGGACCACAGGCGCCCGCCACAACACCCGGCTATTTTTTGGTTGCAGTCGTCATTGTTGTTTGGCGGGTCTGGGCTGGATTCAAACCCGCCACCTTGGGTGTACATGGCTGGAGCCTTAGCCACTTGAGCCACGGGCGCCGAGCCATCATATAGTATTTGTCTTTTTGTTTTTATTTTATTTATTTATTTATTTATTTTGAGACAGTCTCATTATGTCGCCCTCGGTAGTGCCATGGCGTCACAGCTCACAGCAACCTCAACTCTTGGACTTAAGTGATTCTCTTGCCTCAGCCTCCCAAGTAGCTGGGACTACAGGTGCCCACCACAACACCTGGCTAATTTTTTTTGCTTCTGTTGTCGTTTAGCTGGCCCCGGCTGGGCTCGAACCTGTCAGCCTCTGTGCATGTGGCTGGCACTGACAGAATCACTGTGCTATGGGCGCTGAGCCATGTTTATCTTTTTGTGACAGACTTATTTCACCTAGCACTGTGTCCTCAGGGTTCTTCTGAGTTGCAGTGGAGTATAGTGGGGACACAGAACTGCAGCTTCTGAATTCTACCTTCTAGAGCCTGTCCCCACTTGCTCAGCTGCTGAGGCATGGCTGGTACTGTCCCCATACTTGGAATCTGGAGTTCTTTCCTGGCTTCTTGCTCCCACCTGTGTGGGCTGACACTGGTTTGACTTGTAGGAGGGGCATCAACCATCCTGGTTTTAGTGCCCAAAGTCCTAGTTATAGGCACATTGGAAGGGTTGGCCAGCTATTTGCTGCTGTCCTGATGCCACCCTAGCTATCTGTAAGCACCCCATGTACTGCAGGGCTTTTATCTCAGCTTGAGGAGGGGTTATTTGCCTTTTCTCCTTTCTTCCCCAAATACTGTAAGCTCCTTAAGGGTAGACAGAGTCTTTCGTCATTCTGTTCCAGTAATAACTTACAAGCGGAAGATGCCTCTTTAATCTTCATTAAAGTATTTTTTAGCAGATTAAATCAATATAGGTTTAGGTATTTATGAAGATCTTGTTTTGCTTTTATAGTTGATAATTCTAGGATAAAACATTTAACTACTTTCTGTTTTGGGGGGGGCGGGGGGAGACAGAGTCTCACTCTGCTGCCCAGGCTAGAGTGCCTTGTTATTATAGCTCACAGCAACCTCAGACTCCTGAGTTTGAGCAATCCTCTTGCTTCAGCCTCCCAAGTAGCTGGGACTATAGGTGCCTGCTGTAATGCCCAGCTGCTTTTTCTAACTTCAGTAGACACAGGGTCTCACTCTTGCTCAGGCTGGTCTTGAACTGAGCTCAAGCCATCTACCTGCCTTAGCATCCCAGAGTGCTGGGATTATAGGTGTGAGCCTCTATGCCTGGCCAGTAACTACTTCTTTCTAATTACTTTGTCATTTGTCCTATAGGTTCCCACTAAAGGACTCAAAACGTTTAATCCAGTGGTTAAAAGCTGTTCAGAGGGATAACTGGACCCCCACAAAGTATTCATTCCTCTGTAGTGAGCATTTCACCAAAGACAGCTTCTCCAAGAGGCTGGAGGACCAGCACCGGCTACTCAAGCCCACAGCCGTGCCATCCATCTTCCACCTGACTGAGAAGAAGAGGGGGGCTGGAGGCCATGGCCGTAACAGGAGAAAGGACACCAGCAAGACCACAGGGGGTGTGAGGAGCCACTCGAGCACAGCAGCTGGTAAAGGTGCTGCAGGTTGGTCTTCATCCTCGAGTGAAAGCCCTATGGCCAAGCCAGAGCCCCGCAAGTTGAAGCGAGCTGCTCTGCAGGGTGAAGCCACACCCAGGACCGCCCAGGAGGCTGTCAGCCGGGAGCAGGCACAGCAGTCTCTGGACAAAACTCCAGGGGATGGACTGGCCACCCAAGTGGCAGGCAGCCAGGAAGAAGCAGCAGTGTCTGCTGTAGAAGCTGGTGATGAGAGCACCCCCTCATCCACTGATGGGGGCATAGCAGATAAAAGTGGCATTTCCATGGATGACTTTACACCCCCAGGATCCGGGGCATGCAAATTTATTGGCTCACTTCATTCCTATAGCTTCTCCTCCAAGCATGCTAGGGAAAGGCCGTCTGTGCCTAGAGAGCCTATTGACCGGAAGAGGCTGAAGAGAGACGTGGAGCCGAGTTGCAGTGGGAGTGGTTTGGGGCCAGAAAAGGGCCTGACCCAGAGCCCCCCTAGTTCTTCACTCATAGCAACGCCTCAGAAGCCTTCCCAGAGCCCCTCTGCCCCTCCAGCTGATGTCACACCGAAGCCTGCTGCAGAAGCTGTGCAGAGTGAACACAGTGATGCCAGCCCCATGTCCATCAATGAGGTCATTTTGTCTGCGTCAGGGGCCTGCAGGCTCATCGGCTCCCTGCACTCCTACTGCTTCTCATCCCGGCAGAGCAAGAGCCAGGTGTGCTGCCTGCGTGAACAGGTGGAAAAGAAGAATGGTGAGCTCAAGAGCCTGCGGCAGAGGGTCAGCCGCTCCGACAGCCAGGTGCGCAAGCTGCAGGAGAAGCTGGACGCGATGAAGAGAGTGAGCGTCCCCTACCTGAGTGGCCTGCTGTCCCCCAGCCGTGGTCAGTATCAGAGCATTCGCAGTTCCCTCACTTCCGTCCTGTTAGGAGGGGTTTCCTGCAGGGGGCAGACATCCCCTGTGTCCCTGAGGCCTCAGGGGAAGCCCTGCAGCAGCCATGCCTCATGGCAGTCAGCATCTGTGGCACTCTGCACACAGTTATAACTCCAGGCAGCTTAGGATCTAAATGTGAAAGGAAATAGGCAAACTAAGCTATAGGGAAAAACACAGAAGACTCTTAGAACCATGGGAGATTCTTTCCTTTCGTGCTTTAATGAATATCCTTGAAGTTACTCATTTTCAACATTAGTAATTCTTCTAATATCTACTCGATGTTAACATCTAGTCAAGTATAATATATTGTCTGTTAGAAAAGTTAAAATGCTACAGAAATATGTAGGCTCAGAAATGGTAAAAATTTCTATTTTTCATCCACTATCCATTCCCAAGTTGTTTTTTTGTTTTTATATATAGATGGGGTCACTGTGTTGCCCAGGCTGGACTCAGACTCCTGAGTTCATGCAATCCTTCTTCCTCATCTGCTTCACCTCCTGAGTTTTATTCCTGGTTCCTATTAAAGATTCGGCATGTGGGCCTATGCACCATGGCTCATGCCTGTAACCTCTGCACTCTTGAAGGCTAAGGCAAGTGGATCCCTTGAATTCATAATTTCAGGACCAGCCTGAGCATAAGTGAGATCTCGTCTGTACTAAAAATAGAAAAAACTAGCCAGGCGTTGTGGTGGGCGCCTGTAGTCCCAGCTACTCGGGAGGCTGAGACAAGAGGATCATTTGAGCCCAGAGGTTTGAGGTTGCTATAGGCTGTGATGAGATGGCACTCTACCCAGGGTGACAGTGAGATGCTGTCTCTCAAAAAAACATTTTCTTTTTGGAGTGTAATTTTTTATATTGTATGCTTTTGCATATGTGTTTGTCTCTATATGAGTAGGTTGAATATAATTTGATGTTTATTGGCTCTATTTTTCACCCATTTTACTGTTAAGTACTTGTTAAAATTGGTTTCTAGATTTTTTTTTTTTTTTTTAAGATATAGTCTTACTATGTCGCCCTCAGTAGAGTGTTATGGCATCACAGCTCACAGCAACCTCTAACTCTTGGGCTGAAGCGATTCTCTTGCCTCAGCCTCCAGAATAGCTGGAACTACAGGCACCCTCCACAACCCCAGGCTATTTTTTGGTTGCAGTTGTCATCATTGTTTAGCAGGCCTGGGCCAGGCTGGAAACCACAACCTTTGGTGTATGTGGCCAGCGCCCTACTCACTGAGCTGTGGGCACTGAGCCAGTTTCTGGATATTCTTTACATATTAAGGATAGTATCCTTTGCAGGTTACATACGTATAGAAGACATTTTCCTATCACATTGTTCATCTGGATCAGTGTTTGTCAGTGAGGATGTGATAAAGACTTCTGGTGGGAAGAAGTTTTCAGGACCTCGTGGATCCCCATGGCAATAGTCACTAGCACAGCTGAAAACAAAGCCCATCATCCCATGTGTTTGTGTGTGGGAAAGAAAGGATGATTTGGAAAGGCCACACTGGGTACCATTAACCTATATTTTCAGATCAAATTTAAATTTTCAGATATTGTATTCTCTTAGAATTTTTAAGCTATCTTTGGCAGGGCGTGGTGGCTCACACCTATAATCCCAGCACTGTAGGAGGCTGAGGCAAGAGGATTGCTTGAGCTCAGGGAGTTCGAGGCTTGTTTGAGTGAGAGTGAGACACAGACTCATAAAAAAAAATTGAAAAACCCAGCTGGGTGTCTTAGTGAGCGCCTGTAGTCCCAGTGGCTTCTGAGACTGAGGCAGCAGTATGCCCACAGCCTGAGTCTGAGGTTGCAGTGAGCTATGACACCATTGCATTCTGCTCAGGGCATAGGGTAGAACTCTGTCTTGACCAAAAAAGAAAGAAAGCTATCTTTGTAGTTTCTCATACCTAATGTATGCTTTTTTTTTTTTTTTTTGAGACAGAGTCTCCCTATGTTGCCCTCGGTAGAGTGTTGTGGTGTCACAGCTCATAGCAACCTCAAACTCTTGGGCTTAAGCAGTTCTCTTGCCTTAGCCTCCCAAGTAGCTGAGACTATAGGTGCCTGCCATAACGCCCGGCTATTTTTTGTTGCAGTTGTCATTGTTGTTTAGTTGGCCCGGGACAGGTTTGAACCTGCCAGCCTTGGTGTATGTGGCTGGTGCTGTAACCACTGTGCTACAGGTGCTGAGCCCCTAATGTTGCTTTTAGATTTTTTTCTTGTTTCTTTTGGTCTGAGTTCTCACAGTTTTTTGCTATTACCGGTCTCCCCTAACAGCCAGCCTTCTCCTCTGCCTGGTTGTCTCTGTTCACGAGCCCTCCCTTCTTTTTCTATCCTCTGCTTCTGTTATCCTGGCTCTGGGGACACCTCATACCTGCAGCTGAGGTGACTTCCACCCCGTTGGCCATAGGCTCCGTGCTGCTGCTCTTGTCTCTGTTCATTTCTTTCTTTCTTTTTTTAGAGACAAAGTCTCACTTTATCGCCCTTGGTAGAGTGCTATGGTATCACAGCTCACAGAAACCTCTAACTCCTGGGCTTAGGTGATTCTCTTGCCTCAGACTCCCGAGTAGCTGGGATTACAGGTGCTCGCCACAACACCCCACTATTTTTTTTTGTTGTTGTTGCAGTTTGGCTGGGGCCAGGTGCAAACCCACCACCCTTCATATATGGGGCCAGTGCCCTACCCACTGAGCCAAAGGCGCCGCCCCCACTGTGCATTTCTAAATGGTTTATAATCAGTCTTGAGTTCCCCTTTAGCCCCATAGTTATTTATTTATTTATTTTTATTTTATTTTTTTTGAGACAGAGTTTCAAGCTGTTGCCCTGGGTAGAGTACCATGGCATCACAGCTCACAGCAACCTCAAACTCTTGAGCTTAAGCCATTCTCTTGCTTCAGCCTCCCAAATAGCTGGGACTACAGGTGCCTGCCACAATGCCTCACTATTTTTTTTTGTAGTTGTCATTGTTTTAGCAGGCCCTGGCCAGATTAGAACCGCCAGCCTTGGTGTATGTGGCCGGTGCCCTACCCACTGAGCTATGGGTGCTGCCCCCCATAGTATTTAGAAGGGTGTTGGCTTATTTTTAAGTGGCTAGATGGAGGAGAGAAACTTAATTTTTAGTAGTCTTTTTGAGATTTCATTATGCCATAAAAAGAGTCTGTTTTTGTGCCGTTACATTGCTGCTTGAGAAGAATGTAGCCTCTCCGCTTGCTGGTTACTTTGTTCTCTGTCTGCAGAGGCTGGTATCTTGTTTGTATCAGTGAGCAGGTCCACCTTAGCTCACAGTGTGAGACACTGTGCCCAGCCCTTTGTGGAAATAATTAATGTTTTGTTTTTAGGAATTCATATGCCAGTAAAATTTTGGGAGGCAATCTGTTTTTGGTTGTCAGTTTTTGTGTCCTTGTCTATTTATATGCTTATTTGATTGAGAACACAGTTCTAGGTGTAAAAGCCTTCCTGTCTGAACCTAAAGGAATCATTTTTTTGCCTCTGTACAGTTAATTCCATTGTCTGATGGAACAAGTTAGGCTCTGGGCCTGTTGCAGATGACTGTGCCTTTTTTTTTTTTTTTAATTTTAGACAGAGCCTCAAGCTATCCCTTTGGGTAGAGTGCCATGGCATTACAGCTCACAGCAACCTCCAACTCCTGGGCTCAAGCAAGTCTCTTGCCTCCACCTCCCAAGTAGCTGAGACCACAGGCGCCCGCCACAACGCCTGGCTGTTTTTTTTGGTTGTAGCCATCATTGCTGTTTGGCGGGCCCAGGCTGGATTCAAACCCGCCAGCTCTGGTGTACGTGGCTGGCGCCTTAGCCGCTTGAGCCACAGGTGCCAAGCTTCCTTCCTTTTTAGATGTGGGAAATTTTTCTGTTATTTCCTTGATTCTTTACTTTCTGGAATGAGTGTTATGAGTTAAGAGGATGGTTTTAAGCAGGGAGCAGCCTGATGTGGTTTAGGTTTTGTAGATATACCCCCAACCACTATGGAGGAAGGGGAAGGGTGGCATGGGAGGGGCTCTTGGCTACTGTGGGGGTCCCAAGGTGGATGTTGATTGCTCAGACTAGGTGGAGGCAGGGTGGTGGAGATGCTATAGGGCTAACTAGGCAAAGAGTTGAGAAGGAAAAGAGTGACGGAGGCTGCTGGATTTGGCCCTGAGCACCTGGGTGCCTGGGTCTGCCTCTGTTTGCTGTGGTGGGGAGGAGTAAGCAGGTGGGAGTATGGAAGGGTTTAAGGTGCTTATAGGTGCTAGTGCCAGGTTTCGGACAGACAGCCTGAGGCATCACCCATCTCTTTTTTTTTTTTTGAGACAGAGTCTTACTATGTCCCTCTCAGTAGAGTGCTGTGGCACCACAGCTCACGCAGCGGTTCTTAACCTGTGGGTTGCGACCCCTTTGTGACAATAAGAGTATATCACGGCATTAGGAAGGTTGAGAACCACTAGGTCACAGGCAACCTCAAACTCTTGGGCTTAAGCTATTCTCTTGCCTCAGCCTCCCAAGCAGCTCGGACTACAGGCGCCCACCACAACAGCTGGCTAAGCACCCACCTCTTAAAGTTGGGTTTGTGAGCCAGGGAAGGTGGCTTATGCTTGTAATCCTAGCACTCTGAGAGGCCAGGGTGGGTGGCTTGCTTGAGCTCAGTAGTTCGAGATAATCCTGAGCAGGATTGAGACCCCATCTCTGTTAAAAAGAGAGGCATTATGACAGGCACCCGCAGTCCTAGCTCTTGGGAGGCTGAGGCAAGAGGATCACTTATGTCCAAGAGTTTGAGGTTGCTGTGGGCTGTGATGCCATGGCACTCTGCCCAGGGCAACAGATTGAGACTCTGTCTCAAAAAAAGAAAAATGTGAGTGTGGAGGTCAAGGAGGGCAGAGGTGTCTGAAACCCTGGGAATAGGAATGGGCCAGGCTGATAGAGGGACAGCTGATGCCAATCCAGTAGAGGAGACCAAGGAAGGGCCCTGAA